TTAGGTTAGTTTTAGGGTCAGGTAAGTTTCTGTGAGGTTAATTTTAGAGTATATGGTCAGGGTTAGGATATAAAGTCTTTTTATAAATGATTCTTCAATGCCTGAGTTCGCCCCCTACTGACTCACAGGCATTCATCCAATAATCTCAACCAACGGTTCACTTATGTGTTATTTATGATTCGGACATGTAACTACTCTATATCAATTAACACATGATAGATCAAACATTATAAAATTATTATAAAAAGGAAGCCCTAATAATCTAGTGTTGTTTCTAACATCAGTACTAATCTGTAATAACTATAAATTTCTTCAATCAGTTGAAATGATTCAGAATATATCATGACAGTAAGCATACAATTCATTTATAAGTGAAACAAGAAAGAAATGCAAGTAAAATACATTCAAAACTTAAATATATATGGGTGAAGAATGACGATTTCATTTTCCTTCACAGTAGTCTCTCATTTTGGAGTAATTTATGTCCGTCCACTTTGTGCAACATCTCCTTAAGGTGTGAGCACTTCTTAACTGAAAACTAATTAGATTTAATCTGAGGCAGATGTTTGTTTTAAAACTATAAATTATATTGAGTTTATACTTTGTCTTAACTGTGACTGACTATGAAAATTATAATTATTTTTTACTGTATTGTTTCTTATTGCCTGAAGCTTAGAACTTTGTAAAAAAAGTTTTGTGGTATGTTTTATATAAACTAAACAATTGAAGAAGCATTCATTTATATTTAATGCCTCATCAGGTGCATATGTAGATTCTCAATCATTCAGGAAATGCTGAATCTCCCACCAACAAATTAAAAATAAATAAAATAAACAGAAGACTTGTCTTCTATTCGGCAGGTACATAACTTTACCTTTTCTTCTTCCTTCTTGACTGTTTTGAGGTTGGCTTTGAAGTCGATGGCCTCCTTCTGCCTGGATCCCAGCAGAACATTCAGCATGTCTTCAGCTGAGATCCTCACCCTCTTCAGGTGCGGCTTCTTGAACTTACTCTGAATCTCAGTAATCTTCAGTTTCAAGTCTTCAATCTGAATAGAAGATCACATGATCAGTTATCACTCTGCTGTATACGGACCTGCTATCCTTAGTGGGATTTTAAAGTCATACGTTTAGAAGGAAACTATAAGTGCTAATCAGTTCCTCACTTTTTTATTATTTTATATGGTAAATGATCTGAACTTATGTAGCTTTATCAAGCCCACTTGGAACCCAATGTGCTTTACACTACAGTTATTCACCTATTCAGTCATTGTGTCCAAGGACACAATGACTGAGATGGCTGGAATGGGGATCAAATTGGCAACTCTCCGGTTACAGGACTCCCCTAACCACTCCGCCACAGCTACCAGACAGCAGTTTATCTATATGTGACCCATCATATCGAAATGAGGATTAAGTCAAATTTGGTCAAAATGACCTAATTACATTTTCAAATTC